TGTCAAGCAGATTGGTTCAGTTTTTACAGCTCTACTCGTCTATGTTGATGAGATAATGATTGCGTCTAATGATGCGTCTGAGTTGCAGCTTCTTAAAGATGATTTACATGGAGCTTTCCAGATCAAAGACATGGGGACTCCAAACTTCTTTTTAGGCCTGGAGATTGCTCGGAATCCGACTGGTACCTCTGTTTGCCAACGCAAATACGCCCTCGACATCCTTGCCTCCATTGGTATGTTGGCGTGTAAACCAGTTTCTGTGCCAATGGATCCTACAACTCATCTGACTCGAGATTCGGGTACAAAGCTGGACAATCCTACTCCATTTCGAGAGCTCATTGGCAGTCTTCTCTACCTCACCATTACAAGGCCTGACATCACCTTCGCGGTCAACTATTTGAGCCAGTTCTTATCTGCTCCGACTGATGCTCATATGCAAGCTTCTCATCTGATCCTGCGCTATTTGAAAAACTTCCAGGTCAGGGTCTTTTCTATGCTTCTGATACGGAACTCTGCCTTAACGCTTTTGCTGATGCAGATTGGGCTACATGCCCTGAATCTAGACGCTCTATTAGTAGCTTTTGTGTCTATTTGGGGAAGTCTCTTATCACCTAGAAATCAAAGAAACAACAGACAGTAAGTAGAAGTAGTACTGAGGCAGAGTACCGAAGCATGGCTCTTGCTATATGCGAGTTATTGTGGTTGGCACAGCTTCTTCGTGACTTGAAGGTCACTGTCACTACATCTGCTAAACTCTTTTGTGATAACAAATCGGCGATGAGTATAGCGACGAATCCGGTTTTCCACGAAAGAATGAAACATGTGGAAATAGATTGCCACACTGTACGTGATCAGATCAAGAATGGCTACTTGAAGTTGTTCCATGTTTCTTCTTCTAACCAACATGCAGATATTCTTACAAAGGCTTTACATTCCATTTCATTCCATTCTTCAGAGGATGTCTATATCAAGCTTCTTCCTTCCAGCTCCTGATCCAGCTTCACCAGATAATCCGCCTTTAGTTTCAGAGGCTTGAGGGGGTCTATTAGAGTAGTTGGTTTGATGTTGGTTAAGCTGGTTTAATATATTCTGGAGAATTGGTTAAGTTTCCTTTGGCTTGATCAATGTATGTATATAAACATTTTGTACATTCTGTTTCATTAATGAGAAAGATAACTTTCCCTTAATATAAATGACGAAGAAGACGAAAGAAATGATCGTACCTGATTTGATTACTTAACGGCGAGATTGTGGTGGTGATTGATCGGCGATGGTGGTGTCACCGATGAAGAAGTGTTGTCGTCAATCAGATTGTAGAGGACGATTGTTTTTTTTTTTTTTTAATTATTCACGCTTTAATAAAAGGAATGCTAGATTTGTCAAATTGAAGAATAGAAGCTTTTTATGAGAAAATTTAGTTTCTTAGGGTTATTTTGAGAATTGCCCTTAATAATTTCAGACCCTAAGTCAAATCGAAATATCCAATGAATTTTAAAGCTTTAAAGCTTATCAAGTTATCCAATTTGGAACTCTATTTTTTATTTTAATCAACCCTGTTTTTGACATATGAATACACTATCTCATAGTGTTCATAACAAAGAATCCAACGATTCCGGTCATTCCGACAATTTAGTAGCTCGGAAACGCCACTGGAATATGGTTTTCAACTATTTGTCCAAAAATGAGTTGCAACATACATATGGGTCTGACTTTTCATAGCTGCATCTGGTCGGTTGTTAAAAATTTTAGATTCTTGTGTGAGCAGGGACTCGAACATAAGGTGTTCTTGAAGAACTTTCCATATCCTAGGCAAGAATTGGTGTCAAGGATATTTCCTCTTCTCCAGATTCGATGAAGGCATCAAAACGGATGAGGAAGGATGGTTTTCTGTCACTCTTGAACCTACAGCTAAGCGAAATGCTAGTACAGTAGTACGGAGGTGTAGTAATGACTGTTTTACACGAGTTGGTGTGAACGCTATTCAGTTCGCACCAAGGTGATTGAAAATACACTTTTTCTAATATTTTTTTGTGTGGTTTTACGCTGTTTAATATAAGGGTTTGGTATAGAAAGATCCAAAAAGATCCAAAGATATTGTAGATACTAGATATTATGAAAGAGATTCTAGAGATTTGTATATAACATTATATGATTGTATTAGGTTAAAAAATAGTTCTATATAAATGGATGTATCCCAACCTTTATTATTATGAGAGTGAATATAACTTCTTCCCATTCATAAACTTTCATTAGATTATCATGGTAGCAGAGCCATCGTTAGATCATTCCATTTTTTTTGTTTTTGTTTCTATTGTCTTTTAAGCCAAAAGTGCTTATATTATTCAGAGCTACAATGATCTAACGATCGGTTTAATTTTTTTTTTAAGACAAGATCTTCCCCATTCAAGATAATCACCAGCCTCTGAATCTTAAGCCATTGAGCTTCTAATAATTCAAGTCTCACAGACCTCTGAATCTGTAACTTCAAGTTTCCTTAAAATTTTCAAGCCATAGTGCTTCTGGTTTGTTATTTCAGGCCTTAGTGCTCCACACAACTAATCCAGATAAATCATAGAGATATTTATACTAATACATGTTTGGACACAAAATGTAAAGGCAAAAGTACACAGTACCAAAAGAAAAAGGAGACACATGCGTTCAACAAGCTCATCTTCATGTCACACTTATATGGAGCCTAGTCTCGTTGGCGATATATTCTTGTCTTTGGAACACCGTACCAAGAGAAAAACATTGTGTTTCTCACACACCTGCATCTCCACAATCATTTTCTCCGGAATCGGGATCGTGCAGAAGTGTGATAGGAATTTTATGGGACAAAAAAGGGTTCAATATAACACTAAATCCTGCAGAAGTGATAATGCGTTTGATGCACCCTTGGACATTTTCTGTAATGTTTCTCTCATTTTGTTGTCAAACTTACTTCTGTTGCAGTTGTGATTTTTATTTATTCTGAGCACGCATCAGTTCTTGAAAGTCTAGATATCTCAGGGAGATTAGAGAGGTGAAAAGTATTTGATCCACTTCATTGACTAGAGTTCATAAGATTAGGATATTACAGGTAGAGATAAAAGAAGTACAAAGAAACTATTATTCCATTTTATACTATCTTGCTAGTTGCTACGGGTCCATATGAGACTTGTTGATTCGGTTTATGCAACTTAAACCAGTCTTAGTTCCGACTAACTAACTTATCTGCAACCAGAGAAATGAATCCTCCCTATTCAGAATGTCTTGAGCTAAAGATCTCGTTTAGTGGATAAATAATGATTTCATAGAGCCAAGAATGAAGCTTTGCTTGACATCAAAACCTTTCTTACGCACTTTTCGTGACACCAAAACTGCTCTTAGCAATCTCTAAGCTGCACATTTCACGACTGAAATGTCTTATTGTAGTACTCTGCTACAAAGATTAAGGCTCATTAACTCCATCTTTTGTGGACAAATTTATACAATGGCAGTTAACTATGTAATTGGTTAACATAATCGATTTTTTTTAAAGTATTAGAATAATTTCAAAAGTGTTGAAGCCACACAGTAGGCATTGTGATGCGAAGAGCTTTAATTGAAGATATATAGAGAGAACAAATATTTACACGTTCGCTATATTTTTTCTTTGGTTCGTGATTCTTGATGGATGGGGCGGGGAGCTCGGGCCCTCAACAATCCCATACCACCACGGCACCACCACAAGTTTGGCGGTGAAGAGCGTGGCCCTCAAAATCTAACCACATGACTATAGTACACACAATAGGTATTCAAATCGTTGGTACCAGAAATTCTTGTTTTAGGGAGTATTTTTGAAATCCATGGCATGGACGAAGGTAGTGTACAAACTAACAAAGAGGGGTGTCTATGTGGCTATGCATCCATAATATATTTAAAATTAATGTATTTTTTTTAGCTAATTTCTTAATGTATTTTTAGATGCACCCATTTGATATTTATTAATTAATATTAGTACAGCAATTTAATTTAATTTGCTACAATTTTGTAACAAATTGACCCCGATCGAATTCTGTCATAATTGTAATAAGAAACTACAAGATAACTGTTTTCTCTCTCAAATGTATTGATAATCTGTTTTATAAGATTTATATCGCAAATAAGCCATGTGTTTCCTCCCTGGTTTTGTCCCTCTTCTTTTCGTTGTTGATAGGGGGTCTTTCTCGTTGATTTCTTGTTTATGATGCCTACTGGTGTTTCGTATCGTATCCAAACCCTTATGGCCTTTTTCATTAATTCAATTCAGGTGTTCAAAAAAAAGATTTATGGCAAATTTCTGCTAAAAAAATATCAAAAATAATATAACAGAAATAATTATAAGAAAATTTGTTACGAAAATCAATCAATTCCATCGAATCCATTTTACAGTATATTTCGACTAAAATATTCATTTTAAATATTTCCACTCAAAGAACGTAGTTTTTTGTAATGTGAAACCTTGTGTGCCACGCATGGTAGATAATTAATAGCAATCCTTTTGACCTTGTAGCTAAGAGATAAAAATCCAAAAAAAGAAAACGGCACTCAAAATAGCATGATGGTTTATGGAAGTGCGTATTGGCAAGAGCTGAAAAGAGGCACGTATAATATTCCACTAAGTAAAAACATCTGTTACATGAATAGAGCAAGCAAAAGATTGCATGAGTTTTCTAATAAGTAATCATCATTATCAGCTTTAATGAATATGTTAGTGCTTATAGAAGACTATATTGGGTATTCTTGTCGACCAAGGAGCCTAGACGCGTTTTCGATATTTAAGAGTATTGAGTGGGTTTTCATCTTTATCGTGAACCTGTGATCAAAGGACGCGTGTATGTGTGTATGTTGATGGGGTTTTGGCTATAAATAGGGTTTCTCGCCAACGTATAATCAGATAGCTAGTACTGATCGAGCTTATACTGGGAATCTATCTTGATTGAGTGAGTTTCCGTGTGTGTATATTAAGAGAGAGAGAGAGACAAAAAAAGAGTAAGAGTATGGGGAAGTTTGTGAGAAGGGGCTGGGTAGTTGCTTGTGTGATGGTGTTCTTGATCTCGACTCAAGTGTTGGGACAATTATCTGATACAGGTGATCATGTCAATGCCAAAAGCCGACATCACAAAAGTAAAAGAGGCGATGCTGGTGCTGGTGCTGGTGGGGGTGGAGGTGGATGTGTTAGAAGCAGTATTGGAGCAGGGGGTGGTGCTAGCGGTGGCATTGGAGTCGGAGGTGGTATTGGCGGAGGAGGAGGTATAGGCGGTGGTGGTAGTGCCGGCGGAGGTGCAGGTGGTGGTATTGGAGCCGGAGGTGGAGCTGGTGGTGGTGGTGGTGGAGGTGGAAGTGGCAGTGCTGGTGGTAG